GCTGGCTGCTGCTGTAATTCTCATGCAATTCTAAGTTAACAAAGAGTCAGAAGGACACAAGAGTCCTGCCCTAAAAAATAAACCACAAGGGCCCTCTAGTAGGTTCTGGGTGATTTCTAAGTTTGTGGCATGTTTCTGAATGACTTAAGTTACTAACATTTGGCCCAACTGGAGTATACTACTTTTGAACACAAACTTTGAAATTTTCTCAAAATCAAAAATCTGAGGACACCATGGCAAAGAGGTGGGAAGAGACTCGTCAGCAACACCATGGAGCAGAGCGCAGGCAACGTGCCCGCTGGCAGCGTGCCCAGCCACAGGGGAGACCCATGGTCCTATACCTGCTGCTTCATGGTTTTCGTGTCCCACAGCAGCAGCTTGCCAGGAACCTGGTTCATGCCCTTGCTGCCGATGTCTGGTGCCGAGGAGTCCACGTGGGAAGTGAGGCTTGGAGCTGCAGCCGAACAGACAAAAGAGGCCCCGCTGGGGCTGCAGGCGAGAGACAGGATCCTGCAATACACATGGGCAGAGTCAGAGGGCAGGCGGCCTTGGCTCTGAGGCTGATCCTGTTGCAGGACACGGGGCAGCCATGGTGGTGGGGGGAGGAGCCCCCAGCTCACCTGGGCATCTCATCGTCGATGTTGATCCCACAGAGATTCTTCTTGACTTCTGTGTCGTAAAGACGCACCGTCCCCACACCACTGCCCAGCAGGAGCTTCAATAGGAAGAAGGGGCAGTGAGAAGTACAGCCCAGGTTCAGGCTGGTCAGGGAGGCCACTCCATGAGGTGCAAGTGGGGCTGAGCAGGCTGCAGGGGTGAGGCCCCTCCTCCAGCAAGGGGAAATCTGGCTACAAAGGACCTTGCTTAAAAATTAAAGATACTTGGGCTGACCTGAACCAAAGGCATCTGTGGAACGAGAGACGCAGCCCCTCAGATAGAGCAGGAAGTATTCTGGCTGGTTCAACAGGACCCTCTCATCATCCCCCTTCCGTTCGGTTTGAAGTCCCAGCTGTTCTAACCCTTCCTGTTTGCTCCTGGTCTCCCCACCGCTCNCACATGGGCAGAGTCAGAGGGCAGGCGGCCTTGGCTCTGAGGCTGATCCTGTTGCAGGACATGGGGCAGCCATGGTGGTGGGGGGAGGAGCCCCCAGCTCACCTGGGCATCTCGTCGTCGATGTTGATCCCACAGAGATTCTTCTTGACTTCTGTGTCGTAAAGACGCACCGTCCCCACACCACTGCCCAGCAGGAGCTTCAATAGGAAGAAGGGGCAGTGAGAAGTACAGCCCAGGTTCAGGCTGGTCAGGGAGGCCACTCCATGAGGAGCAAGTGGGGCTGAGCAGGCTGCAGGGGTGAGGCCCCTCCTCCAGCAAGGGGAAATCTGGCTACAAAGGACCTTGCTTAAAAATTAAAGATACTTGGGCTGACCTGAACCAAAGGCATCTGTGGAACGAGAGACGCAGCCCCTCAGATAGAGCAGGAAGTGTTCTGGCTGGTTCAACAAGACCCTCTCATCATCCCCCTTCCATTCGGTTTGAAGTCCCAGCTGTTCTAACCCTTCCTGTTTGCTCCTGGTCTCCCCACCGCTCCTACACGGGGACTGGCCCTGGCTGGTTGCGGGGCCTGGCGGACTGCCCCAACTCCCTTTTCAGGGGATAGTTTTGGCTCTGGGACTGTGAAGGCCTCCAGAAAAGAATAAAAGAAGCTACCCTTGCCTTCAGAAACTTGGGATTTATTTGGTAAAAAGCCTCACAGATAATAACAAATACCTCCAGCAGTAGCCCAAGAATGAGGGTACCCCCAGGAATACTAGCTAGACTGGGACCTCAGCAATCGCATGGCAAATTACCACCGGTACAGGGCAAGCCCTAGATCCTAGTGCCATAAGGATAATTCCTTCAGCTGTCAAAAGACAGGAAAATGTTAATGTGCCGGATCTCGTCTGATCTTGGAAGTTAAGTAGGGTTGGGCCTAGTTAGTACTTGGATGGGAGACTTCCTGGGAATCCCCAGGTGCTGTGAGCTTTTAAAGAAAAAGAAAAACAGGGTTTGCCCCTTGGACTAAATGGCATGATCCCTGTAAAACAGAATGA